AGAATTCTGGTAGCTCCCTGAAGAGTTCTAATGATTATCCCTAATAATGCAATAGCTGAAACTGCAAACAAAAAAATTTTAGGGTCTTGAAGTAGAAAAATTCGAACACTTCAATTCGAATTCTGACAACACTTCAAAGTTTTTTAAATATTGGTTTTAGCGCATCGATTATTAAGGATAATTATTAGAACTCTTCAGGAAGTTACCAGAACTCTCAATAAAATGACGGATTTCCGAAAAAGAAGAATTTTTACCTACATGGACTTGAAAAAAACGTGGACTTGCTAATATTACTAGCAATATTACTATAACTTTGTGCTGTTGGGATTCAAACATTGATTAGATCATTCCAAATAACAAATTTATTTAAATGCAATAAAATTTATTAAATCTAGAAAAAAATCTTTTTCTGTACTATCTGATTTTCTTAAATAAAAGATAAATAAAAATAATATACAATAAAATAAAAATACTATACAAATAAAAGAGCTATAGGTCAATATTGTAGCAATATTGCTGTAAGTTTTGTGCTGTTGGGAAATCAATAAGTATGATTGTTTGAATTTGAAACAATGTATATCTTCGTCTTAAATATTATTTATTTGAAGAGACAATTTCTATCTTCCGCATTCGTGCGACTAACTATATGGCACATAGTTGTAGCACGTAACGCTGTTCATTTAATCTTGTTATTATACAAGCTGTTGCCAATTTCAGCCAAAAAATGTAATGTTTGATCTAAGAAAGCAATTAATTTACGTAAACCTTTATTAATATATTTTGCCATTTTCAAATAAATAATTTTTTTCATTGTTTGTATTTATTGTAACCAAATAATTATAATATATTGTTTGATTGAAAGATATTACTTCAAATAATAATGTTTTTTCTATTAAGGGGGAATTCCATTTTTTGAGGGAAAAAAAATCGATTTTTTAAAATGGAATATTATAGAATGAAATGTTAAAAATATGTACAGCAAATTTCAAATCGAAATTCGTAAAATTAGCGAAGTTATAAGTAATAGACCAATTCGGCGCGCAGGTATATAACTTAACGCATTAAAACTTTAAAAGCATTTTTCTCGAAACAACTTTTTCGCGACTGATGTGTATGATATCTATGAATCTATTAGACCGATCATCTTCCGCTTTGAACTGCATGTTGAGGAAATATCCCTTTATCCCTTTATGATAAAAAAGAAAACCAATCTGTTATATATTTTATTTTTATCGCCATTTTCTCGATTATTAATTTTTTTTGGCCAGTTCCTGGCAAAATTCAACGATAACTATGTATATAAAATTAAACACTATCAGATTTTTATATTTTAGATAACCGAGATGGAAAATATCTTGTATACCAGTAACGGAGATACTTCGCGCAGCATCATGTTTGAGGAGAGATAACAGTCGTAATATTGGCTCAAATTTAATAAAAAAAAAAAACTAATTACATTTTGTAATTTAAATATAGTAAAACAATTCCAAAATTCAAATGTATTGACTGTATATTGGTAAAAAAAAATTCCCCAAAAAAAACGGAATTTCCCCTTAAACAATAGAGATTTCTCAAATAAAACAACAAATTTTTATTAAAACAAATAATGTTTTGTACAAGCATATGTTGTTTCAATGAAACAAATTTCAGTCAAATAAATAGGAATATTAAATCTAGAATACTAAATCTAAAGAAACCTTTTTTTTGTGTAGATATGTTCTTCTTAGCAAAAATTATATCTTTGACAGTTATTTTGTATGACCAAAATATTATTACAAAAAACAAATATAAATTTTAGTTCTATTTCTTATTTTAATGTAGAAATATTAAATATATAAAGTGTATTTTGCCATAGTTAAGTTGTAATTGAATATTCACACGGTACGGTACAACAAGTTAATCTATCTTTTTTTATGTATGTAACATACTTTATTCCCGCAAACATCCAATTTTTTTCGTTTTATTATAACAAATCATTAGTATTCAAAATAACGTATGTATATTAACACTTCTCTTTTAACTAATATAATACGCTAATAATACTTTTAACTAATAATATTTAAATTTGCTTTCTCAAGTCGAAGAACATTAATATGAAAATACGAAATACTTAAAAAATTACTTCTCTTGAATCAGATTTTCTTTCTATTATATTTTAATACTTGTTTGATTTAAATAAAACTTAGCAAAAAGTACCTACGTTCTAAAAGAAATATTTTATAGTAAGTATTCCATTATTTCTTTCGTTATAAATACATAAACGGAATGCAGTGCCAACTTGCCTCTTATGTCAACGAGTTCCGGTCTCCTCTATAATATTGTTATTTTATGTTGTCCTGCTAACTTAATTTGCATTTGGAACATCATTTAAAAAAAAATCTGATAGAACAACAAATTTCTATTTTCAACTTTTTAGCAACAAACGAGTAAGACAAAAAAATTTTACATAAAGAAAAATATTATTGATTGATTTTGTTTATTTTGTTCCGCTAACTTATAAAAAGTTAGAAATCATCTATTAGAGAAATCTTTTAGAAACATTGAACAGTATTTGCGGATAAATTTCCTAATGAAAACTTTCAAAAAATTTCAAAAATTTCCTAATGAAAACTTAATAGTAGGCATATTAATTTATTGAAAAGAACAAAATTTTGTGTTACAGAAGGAGGATAAATATTTAAACATTTAAATATTTATTTATCATTAAAGAGATTTACAATTTTTCTCTGTTAATGCATCAATAAAATTTCTCTATTAATGCATCAATAAAATTTATTATATATGAACATATATAATAAAGTTACATTTCTTATATACGTTGAATTCGTCTTATAGCGTTTTTCATTGAGAAAACTAGTGCAGCACCAGCACCATGCTAGGTTCGATGAAAATTGCATTAGTAACAGTGCAAGTTCAGTGAAACACATCATTGAATTATTTATTTTATAATAATATTCTGATTTTTATTATTTATTTCTAACAAAAAACTTTTTTAATTTTTCTTGAATTTCAAAAATTTTAAACATCAAAATATTTAGATTGTTGCATATTATTACACATATTAGAACTAAATAGAAATAATATTATTATTGTTATGAAGATAATTAGAATAATATTATATCTTAACGTAATATCATACCTTAAAAAGCATAAACACAATCTCAATTTCAATTAATTTCAACTTGCACTTATCTCCACCATTTTTAAAGACAGTGGAGAAAAAATTGAATGCAGTGCAACTTTTTTGCACCAGTTTTGTCAATGTAACATTAAACACTAAAAAAACACTAAAAAAACGAACTGGTTTTAATAGTGGAATAACACATTTTATTCAGTGTGCACAAATAATGCACTTCTCCCAGTGAGAAACGCTATTAAAGATCCTTATAGTGTTATGAAAAAAATTGCATGGTACTATTTAAAAAGATTCAAGATAATTTTTATTTATTTATTTAAAAAGTTATATCGTGACCTTTTTACAAAGTCTCAATTCTCCCACCTCTATGTTTTTCTGTTAATTTATTATTTCTGTATATGTATTGTTATTCTCTCAAATGTCTCGCATACTAATGGTTAACGGATTTTCATAATGTTACACTTTATTCGTCTATTAAAGTATATACAGCTATGTAGGTTTTCATTTAATTATAATATTAAGATTTATCATGAGAATTTTTATTATTACAGTAATAACACCATTTTATTGATTGACTTACGTACACATTATTCAAACAAATATTATGATGTTTGAAGAATTTAAATTTTGAACACACATCTTTATAATTTTATCAAAAGACTTGTTATAATAGTATTATAGTTTATATAATTAATTTATTAATGCATCAATTTACTACTGAATTTTGACCAAAAAAATGTGGTCTAAAATTCTATTAATAAATTCTATTAATTTTACACTCGAAAACCTATGTCGGCTCATATAGGTTTTGTTTTTACTCATTTGATTGTAAAATTGAACTTTTACACTTCATATATTTTTATTTAAAAAGCTGTTTCAATTTTTTAAATCAGAGCTGGGATAATCTAAATGCCGATCGGTGAAGTAAGGAACCAAACTGAAAATCGGCCGAAATGTGCAACTAAATCCCAGCTCTGTTTTAAATTTAACTTGTAGTTTGCATGAAACAAGTAAATATCTATTTTTTTAATTTAAGTTATAGTTTGCATGAAACAAGTAAATATCTAATTTATGATTTTTTTGTTGTTCTAGAAGCATCCCAAAAATCATGCGAATATGTACGCTGGACATATACTTCAGCAGTAAAGTAAAATATACTAAACAAGGAGTTAATTATGACGTTAGCAACATGCTTATCTCGCGGAAAGTGGAGCAACTACAAAGATAATATATATGCGAGTATAGTTCGCATTAAATCAGCTTCCGCGGTATGTTTGTTACGTAAACGTTTTAACGATTGCGAAGATCCATGATCATAATTAAACATAATTAAAAAGAGCGACGAAAAAATTTTGTCTAAAGAAAAAATATAAATTCAATATCGTGTCACCATATATCATTACAAAATTATTCGTCCGAAATTTCATTGCTCTTTCCATAGAAAAAAATTAATCTTGTTCTAAATAATTAAACTTAACATCTTAAAATTTTTAACGTTATCTTTTAACGTTATCAAAATTATAAAAAAGATTTCAAAATTCGCAGTGGAATGTAAGAAAATATACATATATTAAAACATCTTCATTTTTCTATATCTGACGCTTTTTTTACCCTTTTTTTAAAACAATTATTTACTGTCAATGCATAGTTTAATACGAGCATAAGGCCGCTATTGTTTTTATAAACATGTTCAAAGTCATTGCAATCAACTATAAATAAATACAGAATTAGGTATGACCGCGCTGTTCAAAACCTTGAAAAATTTTTGCTCTTGAAATGAGATGAATTGATGATTCGAGCATCGAAAAGCGAAGATACTGAATTCGAAAAATGTAAACAATGCGAACAGAACTTATTGACTTACCTGGGGAATATTTGCGTTAAGCTGGCGATTCAAAGCATCCCGTTCCTTCTCAACCTCTGTCAACCGCGCCTCCATTTCCTGCAGCCGTTCTTGGTGCTCGCGCATCGATTCCATCATTTTGTCACGCTCGTCTAGCATTTGCACCATCAGTTGCTCGATGTTCCCATCCTCGCCGGAAAATTGCGAGCTCCGCTGGCTCATACTGTCCTCCGCAATCGTCGGCATCACATCACACATCATATTCCACATTTTGCACGTTGTAGATATATTGCTATCGTCCTCACCTCGCGATAGTTCTCTGTGCTCGTCGGAATTATTGTATTATTTTGTTATTCGCACCCCGGAAGCAATGGATCTGTAGGATAATTACCGGCAAATTACATGCGCCTCTAACAACCACGCGCACCGTTCGAGCGCGTGACACAAGCGCATATAGAATGATGTATACGTACACGCGCGCGCTCGCATCACATGTAACCTACACTCACAACCACACATCCATACTCTCACACGTACGCGTACTACAGATAAAAGAAAAACGAAAATCGGCGTTTCTCTTTTCCCTACCGAACTTATCTTGCTTATCTCATTTTAATTCACTTCTATTATTTCTTTTATCTCATTTTCTCTATCCTTCTATCTCTTTTTATTACCTCCTTTTTATTTATTTCTCTTTTCTCTTGTCCATTTCTCCCAGGTTAATATTTATAGTCGGTTCTTATATTTAAGACTCTTAAGTAGTCTTAAAACAAGAGCATAAAGTTTTACATAACGTATATCTTATAAGAAAATGAACCAATCAAAAGTCTTCATTTCCTTCCTTTTCATAAAAGACTGATTGAGGTTGATTTTTCTCATGCTATATGCGTTATGCAAAGGTGTATACCTCGGCTCTTAAAAAATCATAAATCATTATATAGTCATATTAGCATCTTTATCTTTTGGGACATTTTTTGTCTTTCCTTATTACTGATATTCTTTTGCCCTACCTTAATCAATAATTGCCCACTCTCTCTTGCTCCAAATATGTACAGGTTACAACTTTGTATTAATGCTTCTATCGTGTGATGAATCCGACTCAATTTTTAAGAGAAAATATTTTTTACGTGAATAAAGCACTGATAAAATACTGATTCTGCGAAACTTGTACTTGTTATTGGCAACTAGCCAAATCATGGCTTTTATCGTTTCGCAAAATTTATTTTCTGACAAGTCCACAATTAACTTACAATCAGTACTTTTCAGTATTTTTCATCAATGAAATATTGTTTTTTAAATTAAATTGACTATTATATGTAAATCAAATGTCCCTGTTTTGCGAGCAAGAAGCAGTAAAAACACGCGTCTCTATTTCTCCCTCAACGAAGATTTCCACGCGATCGCTCCCGCTTCGATCGAAACTATTCGTCTACTGTCACGACTTCGAAGCCGACATTTCCCGATCATGTGGCGTATTTGCTTCGCCGATCGTACAAGTGACGGAGATTCGTGCGTCAGCCGTCGCGCGTAAAAGTCTCCTCGCCGCGTGCACTGTGCGTTCTTGACATGTATATGCCCAATATCGCAATTTTTAGTTATATCAGAAAAAGAAAGAGGGAGAGAAAGAAACTTGCGCGCGCTATCAGTCAAATTCGAAAATCAATGTTATTTTATCGGCTCCTTCTTCCTTATTGGATGTTTAATCGCTTCTGCAGTTAGTTATGAATACATTCTTTGGTTTCTCAGATTATTTGATATTTTTTCATCGGATTCGAACACGGAAATCAATATCATGCTCCATTCAATGAAATTAATCGATCGATTGCAGATCAATTTTTTGGTTAAATAGTCGCATATCATCATGATAAATAGATCTGTAACATCTTAATCACGAATTATCGCAGTGTGTTCTTTCTTGTATCCCAGAAAAAATTAATTATCAAGACCACTTAACAATTTCTTTGTATCTGTGTTCTTGTTCTTATAAATGAAATCTCAAGGTATTACTTCCCATGCAATTTGATCATTTGTGTTTGCAGAAATTTTTTTGTTATCTTGAAAGCTTAGTTATAGAATCTATAAATTTTCGCAATTTCAAAATTTCCTCTTTCAAAACAAATATCTGACTGTTTCTGAACAACACAGTAACACTTCTTTCCATCTCCTTCTAAACTCCCTATCTCTGAATTTCTCCTTTTTTTCAAAACAGGTATCTATTCTTTTTGTAATATATAATTATCACTTTTTTATTCTTCTTATAACTTGACTTGCAATTTCAGAACAATTTTGAAGAAGCAACCAGTTACATCGATACTGTAATAATAATGATACTAGCCATAATATTACTGCATTCTCAGTCAATTCTGTAAAGCTTCTTCTTAGGAGAGAAAGAGAGCACCAAGACGAGCAAGAGAGGGACATAGTCTTCTACTTCCTAGGTATTTTGTCTTGCTTTTTTCTCTAGTTCAGTATTATCACACTTTCGATTGTATTTTTTAATGATTCTGTGCCTGTTCATTAGAAACCTGACAGAGTATTGTTATAACCTCGAAGAAAGCCGGCGGCACCTCATTCTTAGATTCTCAAATTTCTCAGCACATGTCAATTTACGCTTCGATTTTCGCCGATTTTTCCTTTTTAATTTTGAAGCACTATAAGCAGAAGCTTTCGGGAAGATCATCCTTCTCGCAAGTATAACAGAAATTTGCAGAAAGGAAATTGGTGATCTCCTATACCAGACATTCCCACAACATTTACTTATCACCAACTTCAAAGAGAGTGAGAGAGAGAGAGAGAGAGAGAGAGAGAGAGAGAGAGAGAGGGAGAGGTGAGATAATAAAAGAAAGAGAGGGAAAGACTGGACGAGCACACAGAGCCAATTTATACATATAATTCTTACACGACAAGCACTGCGCTGCACAGAGCCAAAATTCTGAGTTCAGCTCACAGCAGCGACGACAACAACACGACAAGGCATCATTCTAATAGAGTATTATTTTGCACGTAATGTCAAACACCGACACACCTATTACTCGGAATTCCGCCCAGCTTCGTCTACAATACACCATTCCCGATACCGACGGCCATCTTGCGCCATGACGTCGCCGTCATCGAAGGCGCGCCCGACTCCGCCCGAGCACCGTCGTTGTAACCGTAGAGTACAAGCCGCGTTCTGCGATCGGTGGAGCATACCATGACACTCGAGATCGATCATAGTACGAAGCAGAGAGAAGCCTGAGAAAGGCCATCTCGATATTTTTCATGGAACTTCTTCCGTACACTAGCGCCAGTACATCTATTTTCAAATTGAGTACTACATAGCTATGTGATGGCGATAAAATAGATGTGGTACGAGTCCATACTAAATCACGGTGTCAAAAATTGACGTGCATATGGCCTGAATTCAATAAGGCGGAATTCATACTTAATCTCAAGCAATGTCTTAAGATGCTAATATAGCTCTCTGATTGGTTCATGCACTAGCTTAAGACCATCTCGAATCTTGAGCAACGTCTATGAATTCCGTTCTATATAGTCATTTTTCAGCTCTCAAGTTTGGTCTCCAACATCAGAACTCAGATTTCAATCTCGAATCTCCAAACCTAAATTTCAGTGCTAATGGCTAATCATTAAATTCAGTTCTTCGTGACTGTTTGTGACTGAGCAAGAAATATGAGAATAAAATAAAACGTGATGAGCAAGGTAAGGTTACAAATAGTAATCCAATGCATCGACGAAATACTATTAAAGATCGTCAATCCTGGGCAAAGTTTTCCACAGTATAATAAAAGTCTCCAAGGTAATTGAAAAACACTGACATCGACAATTGATATATATTTGCTATTATTAACATAAATATTTGGCTCATACATTATTAAATCATGATTTTTATTACATAAATATTCCATAAATAAATATGTACTTATAAAACTATAATATCCTATGTATTACAGAAAAATTACAATTTTTTCTCTGCAGTTATTATTTCTGTTAATAATAAAACTTTGATAACAATGAAATCACAATTTTAAATCGAGTATTATTGAGTTCTAAATGCATAAATACAATCTACTAAACTAATAAATCATAAAATTAGTGCAATATTACAGTTTTTAACTCTTAATCACTTCAATATCTACAAAGAACTTCCATAAGGATGTTAGTCTTTATATAATAATATCTCGTTTGTATAATCGGCTGAAAGTCCATTTAGAAAATCCATTTTTTTGAAAGTGCGAGATAAAGAATCAAAATATTTATAGTATATTTATATTATTTATAATATATGAAATATTTATAATAACTCTGGTAGAAAGAAATTTTGCTGAAATTATTCCACGTTTTGGAACATTTCAGCGAAATTGATGAAAATTTGCTGAAATTTCATTGAAAGTGAATTTTTCAGCTAACATTGAAAAATCATTGAATTTGAATAGAAATTTCTCTGAAATTTTGCTGAAATTTCTCTGAAATTTTGTTGGAATTTTTTAAATAATATTTATTGAAATTTCTCTGAAATTTTGCTGAAAATAAAATTTTCAACTAAAAATCTGAAAAATTAAATTTTGAATTTTTCTAAAATGCTGATATTTTGCTGAAAAGTGCTCCAAAATGTGAAATAACTTTAGCGAAATTTTTCCACCAGGGAAGATTAAGAAATGATATTTCAGAGGTACAAATAAGCTCAATTATAATTCTTTGTCCAAAATTCCTAGATTGTAAGACATTTTCAATAAGCAAATCAGAGCAGTCATTTTCAATGCGTTCAGAGTACTAATATAAGGATAGCTGATCACTGCAGATAACGTAAATTCTCTTGCACAACATATAAAAAAACACTACTTGTTAGAGGAGAAAGAGACAACTATTATTGCCATAGCTAATCAGCAATTAAAAAATTTAAGAGCAGAGAGTGAGCAGAGAGTTTGGCAGGAAGGCTTTTTGAGGAAAGTAGCATCTATTTTTTACACAATAAATAATTGTAATATATAATTTCACAAGAAGCCAGTTTTGTAAATATGAGATACGTGATGCTAGCTCTGACACTTTTATCTGAGCATCCTTCTCTCAAACGACAACACAGCAGATTGCTTAAAGTACAAGTAATTTTGTACAATCTGCTTTTTTTCCAAAAATTGATCGTCTCTATATCCATGGAAGCAATTATTTTCAGTTTGCCAACAGTAACGATCCGATATATTATCATCCGATATATCCTAATATAGCCCAAAATAAAAAATAAAAAATGTTTATGATAAAGATTCATATTTGTCTCATGCACATGCATCTACAAATAAAAATTATATTTTAATTAATGTTCCTACTAAATAAGCGCAGCGATATAGATTATAAGTCTATGTGCCATGTAAAAGGACATGTAACTACCAAGCATAAACCTACCTAGCTGCATAAAATATAATATTGATATGGCACTAAACTATCCATGCAATGTGGATTGTATACGCCGCCTACGCGCAAAAAGCTGCAATCATTGTTACGCTGAATAATGAAATTTATATGTGAACATTCTCAATTCCGATACCATCCGTGACTATTACCATATCTGAAAATGTTTTTTTGTTCTCCACTAACATTTTTTTTCATTATTATATTTACTTTGCATAGCATATAAATTAGATAATATTTAATCTGCTAAATATGATCATAAATACATCAATACTGCATAGATGTAGTCAGGTAAAAATATCAGAGTCAGCATCCTGTATCTCAGCATATTTACAAAACTGGCTCTAGTAAAACTATGGAGATTTTACAATTATTTTTCAAGCAGAAACTACTTTTTTTAAAAAGTCTTCCTGCTAAACGTTTATTCTCTGCCCTTAAATTTTCTAATTGTTGATTAGCTATGGCTATGGTCCTATAGCTATGACAGCTATAGCTACAGTCGTCGCTCTTTTCTCTAATAGGTACAATTGTTTGTCTACATTTGTGTGTTTATGTAATCTGCAGTGATCAAACCATCCTTGTACTAATACTCTGAACGCATTGAAAATAATCGTTCTAATTTGCTTGATGAAGATGTCCTGCAACAGTCTATCATAAGCTAAGAATTTTTGACAAAGAGAATTATAATTATTAATAACTGAGTAACTTATTTGTATCTCCAAAATATCATTATTTAATTTACCTTCTCTGATAGAAAAATTTCGCTGAAGTTATTTCATGTTTTGGAATACTTCAGCGAAATTTCAGCATTTTAGAAAAATTTCAGTTCAATTTTTCAGCGATTTCTAGCTTTTTCAGCAAAAATTTTCAGCAAAATTTCAGAGAAATTTTAATAATATAAATTTTAATAATATAAATATTTCAGAGAAATTACAATAAAATTTCAGAGAAATTTCAACAAAATTTCAGAGAAATTCCATTCAAATTCAATGATTTTTCAATATGTTAGAAAACTCACTTTCAGTGAAATTTCAGCAAATTTTCAGCAATTTCGTTGAAATGTTCTAAAACGTAGAATAATTTTAGCGACATTTTTTTATCAGGATTATTATAAATATTTTATATATTATAAATATATTATAAAGATTTTGATTCTTTGTCTTACGCTTTTTAAAAAAAAATAGAATTTCGGTCAATTACATTGGATTACATGTCTTGTCTTTTATAATTAATGACCCTGGTCCTCGTTGACGAGATAAACTTGGCCAGTCGTTCCCAAACACTTCCAACTTTCCACAGGAGTCAAACCGTAGAAAGGAAAAGAATTAGAATCAAAAAGAGCATCAGTCTCCCCCTCCACCCGGCAAAAAACTCCACGCACCACCCAGAGTGAACCGAATCAAACCACGCTACTCTCGGTCGAGCCGCACTCGGATACCAAGAAGAGAGGAGAAAAAAGAAAAGAGGGAAAGCAGAAAGGGGAGCTCAGATCAATAGTTGCAAAGACTTGAAAAAGGAGAGAAATCTGCAAATTTTAACTTGAGGATCTATAAGCATAGGGAAAATATCATTAGAGTAACGAAGAAAATTTTCTTGATAAATTTACCAAGGGAGGCGAATTTGCGCGAGATAAAGGGCAATAAAAAATTACATGGTTGGCATCCTGTTTAGAGTCACCGCACGTACAGGCTGGAGAATCCACCATGTTTTTCCTATGCAAGCTGAAGTTTAAGTTGTAATGATTGGCACGAAGTCTGTTAGTCAAGACGATCTTCTGGCGGTTAAGTAGCTTTTTCTGGTACCATCATATTAGAGAAGTTAGCGTAAAGTGAGGCGTAATGTTGTCCTGTAGTTTTTGAAGTATTTTTTATTGAAACGAGGAACTGACATTTTGTTGTCCAGGGTCAGATGTAGGGAGTTTAAAGTTGTCCCTTCTCTCTTTTAAGGTAGTCTCCTTGGCCACCTTATCCGCTATTTCGTTGCCGAAGAGAATATCACGATAAACTGGATTCCAGACAAGAGTGACGCCCCTGTTATAAGAGAGGATGCTTTTAGAGTCAGAAAAAAATCACTGTTTTGAAGTAATCAGTGTCCTAAATTAAAATAAGCGTTTGGAGGATCGCCCTATCTCCGCTGTAAACATGGTAGCCTCTGAGGTCAACCTGTATCGGAAACTGACTCCGAGCTCTGGAGAATAAGTTGCCGCCTCTGCGTATTCCTGCTCTTCCATTCTGAAGCCGTCTATGTAGAAAACAATGGCTGAGGCTTGGAGATCAATGGAGAAGAGATTGTCTAAGAATTCCTGTTTAATAACATAGTCAGCTTTCTCCTTGTTATCTGAAATAATTTACTTATAATCTGGTCGGAGAATAAAATCAGAGTAGGAAGTTTCGAATGCAGGGTAAAAGGTGAATTGGAAGATATTATTAAAAGCATGTTTATTAAGGATGTAATATTTGAAGGATGACAATACTGAGAGGGCTCTTGATTTCTTCTCGGATGACAAAGCCATCCTTTCCTTGGAGCTGAGGCTGTGGATAATTGGATTATTTCTAGACATAGATTTCAATACGTATCTTTCGGACATAGCAGCAAAGCGAAGTTTAAGCGAGAGTTCCTTAGCCTCAAACAGAATGACGTTGATGGATGTAGACTGTTTGTAACCTAAGGTTCTAATTGCTTTGTATTGAAGTCGTTCTAGTTGTAGAAGAAGAGATTTCTTATTCTGAAGAACAAAAATCTGGCAGCCATATTCGATGGATTCTCTAAAAATAGCTCTATAGAAGGTGAGTAAGAACTGGGGATGGGAACCCCACTAGACCACTGTCAAAGATGATAGGATATTAATCAATGATTTTCCTTTTCTGATGACCTGCTTGAAGTGATCTTCTCCCTTGAGCCTGCAGTCCAAAATAACGCTCAGAAATCTTACGCTAAGGACTCTCTCCAAATAATTATTAATAAAAATTTTGAAGGTAGAATCTTCTTTAAGGGAGCGCTTTCTGTTGGAAAATAAGATTCAATTTGGTTGGTGATAACTCTAGACCTTTATTCGAAAGGCACAAATAAATTAAGTAAAGATTGGAGATTGGCAACAGCTTCTCCGATTTGTCGAAGAAGAGTAGATCACAATGTCGTCCGCATATTACAAAAAATTCCAAGGTGTAATTGAAGATCCATCTCGCGAATATTAATATTGAAAAGTAGCTGAGCATCGAACCTTGAGGAATTCTCTTATATACAGAGCCTCGCTAAGATGACTCTTCTCAATAAAGTATACACTTCTATGAGTGATGATGTTTTCTATGAATTTGCCGAGTCTTATGGGAACTCCAATTTTCTGGATCTCAGAGAGGACTGCTTCAGAGCACGTTGTCAAAAGCGCCAGTTACGTCTAAAAAAGCTGCCGCGACGATTTCATTCGCCAGAAAACTTGTATGGATGTTGTTTATGAGAGTAACCAAGCTATCTGTGCACCTGTTAAGTCTAAAGCCCATTTGTGATAATATCGCCTGCGATTCCATTAGCCATTGCAGCCTTAAATAGACAATCTTCTCAAAGATTTTGAGCGCACATGATAGAAATGAGATGGAGTGGAAACCAGAATTATTCGCCTTCGGAAGATGATGAGTGAGATTCTCCAGGAAGATGGTATAATTCCCTTCTCTAAAAAGCGTTGAATAAGTTCAGTAAAAATTCTTTATATTTAACCGGCAAAGCAGAAAGTATAGTATAGCTGATTTGATCTAGACTCGGAGAGAAATTTTTTCTAGATTGTAATAAAGCGAGCGAACTCATTGATGGAAAAGAGCGAATCCAGATCTTTGAAAACTATTCCCTGATGGTGAATGTTTTCTGCAATCATTGATGACAAGCTTTTGCCAGTATTCGTAGGGCAAAAAGGAGAATAGACTTTACCTTTGACCTTTTCTAGAAGGTTGTTCTGCCTGTTATCATCTGAAATCACACTGGAAGGCTCTGATAGATTACGTCTTTTGAAGGCTTTAATTAAACGCCATGTATCACTGATAGGAGTCTTACAGTCAAATGATTCCACGAATTTCTTCCATTGCCTCTTTTTAATCTTATATAAAATTCTAGTGCATGACATTCTTGCTTTTTTGAATGAAAGGAAATTCTTGATAGATGGACACTGCTGATGTATTTTTGCGGCACTTCTACGACTTAGAATGGTCCTGGAGCATTCTTCCGTCCACTAAGGAGGACTTTTCCTGTCGCTAGGAACCGGGATTGACCTGGGAAGTCTCCTTTTCGGGGAAGAGCAATCTCGAAAGATTTCGTAAATGATCTGCAAAATATTCATATATCTCAATAGAGTCCATCCACCTTGCTAAAAAATTCCTCGGAGGTAGTATATAATGGTGTAATTTGTTAGCTTTGTCCGTATCAAGGATTAATTTGTACAGAAAGACATGTTGTAGACAAGAGAAGTTGGTAATCGCTAATGGTTATGTTGATAGGGAAGTGATTACTGCCAAAGGTATCTGATTCAGTAGATTTCACGTAGGCGCCAAATAGGTAGAAGTAGTGGTGATGTCAATTACAGATCTGTTTAACCCGGCGGTATTAGTAGCGTAGGATTACCATCATTCATAATGCAGGCTCTGTTTATCTTTGCCTAAAAGCGTCCTGCCGTGACGATCGGATTTGGAGCATCCTCAAGAAATATGATGTGCGTTAAAATCATCTGTTATCACGTGTTCTTGTATTTATTAAGAATTTGTGAAAGTTGTTAAGAATTTTATTGAACCATTCTTGAAGTGTATGTTGATTCGGATGTGGTAGTGTTAATAACGGTTAGTTGCGCATCATTGAGATTGATTGCTATACCTACTTTTATCGAAGAATGAGAGATGAGAGATTCGAAAGGTCCAAATGAATGAATGTTGTTCCTTAACAGGATACAGATTCCTCTCTTTCTGGCCAGAGCTTTCTGAGTCCTTTTTAATAACTTTAAAAGACGAAAGTCAAAAAAGCGAGGTTGGATAAAGCAGGGTATCTTGCAAGCAGAAAAATGTCAAATTGTCTGATATGTTGTAATTGAGAAAGTTTGTCACGAATGCAGCAATTTCATTATAGGATTCTAATAGTGAATGCTTATTGCAGATGAAGGTGATTACTATATCTTGCTAATAGGTCAGCATTACTAAGAGAGGAGGAATGTTAACCAGAGATTCACAATTCTCGAGGAAGCTTATAGTCTTCTGAATAATCATACTTATATTTGAAGTTGATTTCTCTGTTGGCGATGGACATGGCCTTTTATTGCTTCCTTTAAGTGAGTAATAATGCTTCGCATCATAGTTAGTGTCATTACGGCCATTGGGTGCAAACAGAAGATTCTAGGTGATTCTGAGAGTATCTTGATTTGTTTGTTGAGTTGAATGATTCAAAGATGATGCAGAAAGAATTTTTTTATTTCCCTACAACAGATTCTATTTTACGGATGAATAATTTTGAGGGGGAGTCCGAAACAGTCGGTTGACCATGTCTCAGAGGTGGCAACGCTGCCTTCTTGGCATAGCTTATAGGAGGATTAGGAAAGAAGGGACCCTTTGAATCGTCATAATCAAGATATTGGAAATGATTATATGAAGTTAGTGGTGTTATAGAGGGCAGGCTAGATGTAATATAGGGAGAGCTGTAGAATTTTGACACAGAAGAAGAAGAAGCAAAAGTATGACTTTGGAAGTAAGAAAAGGTTTTAAATCAAGAAGCATTGTGAAAAAATGGGGGGAGGGAGTTGTTGGAAGCAATTAGTTTTCTAGCGTCCACAAGAGGAATATTTTCTTGCGCGGCCAGGCCGAGTCTTATGCTTAATAATGATAGGACATGTGTGAGAGGTTGCAAGATAATCTCCCTCGCAATTGATGCACTTGGCATGCACCTGATCAGTTGAGCAAGAGTGATCTTCCTCTCTAGTGAGTCCACAGAAGAAGCATCTTGGTTTGGTCCTTTTACAGTCGCGACTGATATGCCAATTCTATAACAAACGTAATAAATCCTGACTTTTGAAATATCGACCTTGTATTAAATAAAACCACTTCTTTCGGAAGTGATTGTTCTGCGAATTTTATACAGACTTCGCGAAGGCGTGTAAGTGGCCTTGCCATCGATTGTCATGCGTCTGTTGAAGCGTTGTACGTCAAGTACTTTGACCGTTAAGGTTAGATTTTCTCTGACAGTCCAGCGACATAGACTGATCAATGCTCTTAACAATTGCGATGCGGAGGATTAAAGGATGAAATGAATGCTCAAAGGCCATTCTTATCAAAGACAGGATTAGAGATCAAACGATTAGTCTGCAGTCTTAGCCTCTATTATAGCCGGTGTCAAGCCTCTTAATGAGAAAAATATCACTCTTGATAAACTCAGAAACAACATAAGAAAGTACAGAAAAATGCATCGGCGTAGACTTGTCCGAGTATACATACGTGACAAAGGGGGAATGTTATTTTTAGAGTATTTATTAATCGAGACATTCTTCGTTTTGGCAGGCGCCGACGCACCCAAGTGGAATTCAAATGCATTGAAGATCGAAAAATTATTCTTAGAGAGGTGAATCGACCTTCGATTTTCTTCGCTTGTTATCTTAGCATTACGCTTGCGACTAGATCTTTCATCATCAGTGTCCATAGGAAATGGCGAATTGATGGCTGTGTCAACGACAGGCTGGTAGGGAAGAGGCGCCACCGCCGCCGCCGCCATTACTTCCATCAAATTAGTGAGCATTCAATTCATATTCTTGTCCGAAGAGGCGTCCGCCAAATGCATACCAAGATCGAAATTGGAAGAATTTGATGAGGAAGAAGGAGAAGGCAGAGAACTCGATTCTATTAGGAAAAGAGCCACCATTACGCGATATTATAGACCTAACGGCTATCTCCTCCCGTCCCGATGCCGAAAGTCGGTGCCTCCGATATAAGACCGAATGATTTATGGAAAGATACGATAAAGAAGAGCACAAAAATGAACACGGACTCGCGCCAGCCCAATTAGCAAGCCAAATTAGAACGAAAAAGCGCTATACAAATGACTTACGCAAAAAAAGCCTCGTAAAATACCGTAGCGAACGAATCCACGTATGCATCCAATGCGTCACCATTGGATTACATCTTGTAATCTCACCACTGCTCTCCACGTTTTCTCAGATTTCTCACCGTCATGAACAGTCACGAAGAACTGAATTTGATGATTAGCTACCATGATGCTATAGACATGATGTATTCTTGCGCATGTTTATCTACTATAACCAATCAGAACGTGTCCTTTTTTCGCCATTTTTCGACGGATTTTGATTCAATACGCCTATGCTATGACAATAAAACTCAGGATGCGCCTCATAAGTTGCAGAACTGCGGATATGCGGAACTGCGTTTTAATTTTGATTTACATTTTTCACTCTTCTGTATACTATTTACATTCGTGTTCTGATCATTATTTCTGATCATTATATTAACCTTTGTATTTATCTGGAGACTTAATTAGTTATTTTCAGAGTTATATTCAGATTCCCATCCGAAGTATTATATTCCAGTCTTATTATTTACTGAATGTTAAACAAGGATAACATGACATCCAGAAAACACCCGAGTAGAAATTCGAATCCACGCTTCAACGTATTGATTAATCATGCGCTCTTGTAAGAGACAGTTTTTTTTCCGTTTAAGCTTAACGAGGTTAATTTTTATAAATATATATATGTACATACACACGCACACACGCAGGCATCGGCGGAATCCGCAAAAGAAATAAATTTGCGCCACAGAAAATGGCGGAATCGGTGGAATGAAGCCACGACCAATCACAAGCATTCCGTCAATTCCGCATTGCGCCAATTCCGCACCATGGAACCGCATATTCAGTTTCACATATACTTATAGTAAATAATCATTTATTGTAAATAATTACTTATTTATTAATTACTTTTTTTTACTTTTATTTATTCTTTTTTAATATTTAATATATTTTTTAATCATTTCAAATCATATAACAAACGCCTGAATATATATATTATAAAATGGAAAATGAAGTCAGCGCGTTGCTATTTGCAAACTTGTCTTAGTTACGACGAGATACTATTAAAGTCGGTGTTTATAGAAATTCGCGTGCCTCTTAAAATTTAAGTGATTAATGCCCGTATTCATAATCAAACCTTATATTTAAGGCTTTCTTAAATTTATCTTCAGATACTCTATCGAATTATTTCATTGACTACTGAGCATCTAAAGATAAATTTAAGAGTAAGAAACTAATAATACGGTACTAATTTCATGATTTATTAGTTTCGTAGACATAGTATGTTCGTAACGACGAGATACTATATTAAAAACCATCGGCAAATTTTTGTGATTATCAGTAGGACCTCGGGGATAATTGAAAAGT